AATGTTTTCAGGTTAATGGTCTCAACCCTGATATAGTGCGCACTATTCCAGAAAGGTTAAAGCGCTTGAATTTAAAAAAAATTCAAGTGGTTGAAAAACCGCTTTCTCTTTCGCATCGTAACATGATTTCAGGTGAACAGGTAAAATTAGCATAAATTTTTTTCTCTAACATAAAAAAAAAAAAAAACAATTCAATAATGCCTTTTTTTTTCTTTTTTTTTCTTTAAAGTTAATGGATGAACAGAATCTTCTGCTTAAAACTGTCGAAGCCTACAGAGTAATAATGAAGGTGGCAATAGGGTGCACTGATGAGGAATATGATAAATTAAAAAGTGATATAACCGCAGAAGTAAAAACTATAGATATGTATATAATGTGCATAAAAACTTTTGGGCAAAAATAATCTTGCACTACATTTAAATGAACAAATAAGTGTAAAAAATGAACAAATAAACAGAGTATCATCTATAGTAGCAACTATAGTTTAAAGGTCAGAGAATTACTTTAGGTTTTAGGAATACACGTCGATTTTAACCTTAAACTTTTCAATCACTGACTAATCAACGGGAAATTATGCAAAAGACAACTTAATGATAAGCACCTTTGATTAAGAATTATGAACAAAAATTTTATTAATATTATTATTAAGATAAAGTATAATATTGACAAAAATATTATGTATTTTCAAAAGACAATAAGTAAAATGGTAAATAAGTCCTCAACTCGCTAAATAAAAACTTGCATTTTTCTTTAGTGTTTGTCAAAATGTTTTTAGCATTTAGAAATGCAATATCCAAAATTAGTTGCATGTACCGGTACGCACGTTCCGTTAAATTAGTGTGCTGTGTAAAGTACCAGCATTACTTACAAAAGCATTAATTTCTTTGATGATCCGCATTGCAGCTCTACCATCACGTACGTACGTACGTACCTGGCACAGTGGTTATAAGTATGCAAAAGTGCTTAAGTTTATTAAAGCATGCCTATAATATATGGTTAAACAAAATTTAACAATATTCTAGAATAAAATTTTTTATTACATAATCTTTTTTTATTTATATTAATGCATTCCAGGATAGCATTCTGGCATACCAAATAATTTTAGGTTTACCAGGTTCCCTACCATCACAACATTTAACATTAAATGACGAAACGTTAATTTATATAAAAAATTATTATGTTTTCAAAGTTACGATTATATGAAATTCACAAGACTACTATTACGGTATTTTGCACCCTTAGTATCATTTTAAATTGTAACTGGGATTCAAGTCAGATCACAAGATCACGTGTTGCATAAGTCCTACGTCTCTATCTATCTGCCTACCTACTTAGCGACGCGGCTATAACCAGCTGGTATTGTTTTTTTTATAGCGAAACTAGGTTGCAACACTTGTGATTTTTAATATAAAATTTGAAGATAGAACGCATTATAATATAATATCGTAATACTGTAATATAAATTATGTAATATTATAATTGACTATATTTTATAAAATAAACTAAATTTTAAATAATTACAGCTAATCTACATTACAAATATTAACATTAAATTTTGATATTCATTTTATTATTAATAATCATTACACAGACTTCAATCTTGTGACTCCACAATCTTACATCTTCTTGCAGCAAAAAAAAGGTTCGCAAAGGTTGCAACTAATTCTAAAGGGATACAAAGTTGCGACTTTGCAGCAGGCATCTCTAGTGATAAACCAACTAGTTCAAACTGGATTGGCTTAAACGATAACGGTTTGCATCCTGAACTGGTCAATAGAGTCTTTCCTAGTTGCCAATAATAATAAACTTGCTAATTTGACTTGTTTCTATTTTTACAATTAATTTTTTTTAATGTTAGAGAATTGCTAATCTTAACCGGGGGAAAATTACCTGGGATGCAAAATCTCAAAAACGGGAATAAGAAACAGGGGTCAGATATACTAAGTAAAAATGTTCCGAACACCCCCAAACCTTGTGTAACCTAAATTCGGGGCTTTTATATCTAACCCCTGACTTGGTCTCAAATTGCACCCTAACCTTAAAACATCTTAAAACATAAAGGGAGGAATATTACCTCCGGTTAAGTGTAGTAATTTTCTTAATATTATTATATATTTTAATATACATTTTAATAATTATGTATATAATGTAGGATCTCATGGATAATTCTGTTGTGTTATCCGGTTATAAAATTTTTAATAAAAAACAAAACATTATCCTCAGATTGGAACACTAATTACAACTAGCCTTACATAAACTTTGATAGTACTTGATCAGTCAGATTTGTTTAAAGTTATAACCCTATAAAAATATTATAAAGACATACACTAATATGTACATAGTGAGTTTTAATTGGAATATACATTGAAATTTTTTAAAAATCATCATAACTTGGATCTTGCGTAGTATGGCTGAATGATTATCAAACGTTCAATTTTTTATATGTATACGTGCCATTAAGAGCATGCCTATCAAAATTTTATTTAACGAGAAATTGTTTTGATTACCATTACATTAAATTTGATTTTATGCTACACTTGATATCATAATATACCTTGAAATGTGTCTTTTTTCTTAGGCTTTATCCTAAAAAAATTATTATTATTGTTAAACTTCTAGTATGTAATAGAATATGAATGTTTAAAGGTTTGATATATTTTTTTTTATAAATTATATCGATCGCACCTGCCCAAATCGCAACTTTTAATCACACTTGACCAGAATTACAGTATTACTTAATTATCAAAATATTTTAGAGGATAATTTTGGTAAAGTGCCTAAATAGCAACCTCAGACAAGCAAAAACTTCAAACATGACATATACATGCATTTTCTTTTTAAATAATACAATTGCTATAATTTTATCAAGTTTATTAATGGCAAAATTTTACCATTTATATAAAATTTTGTGTTTTACCGTAAAAAACCAACCTTTTAACATATTTTGGGTGATTAGAAAAGCTTAAAAAATAAACAACTTTTATATGCCTTTATAAAAGGATATAATTAATTTGAATAATGTAACAGAAAAATGTGACCTAGATCGACTCACGATCGGTTGCTATTTTTTGGGATTTTGGTACGTACGTGTGTACTGGTGGTAAAAGTAAAATACATGTATTTCTTATCTTTATAACATAATATTGGTTGATTAAACGGGATTGAAAAGTTTTTCGGTATCGATGTGCTATTGCAGATGTGACTAAAGATAATGCGGCTTTTCAGTTATATCAGATATATTGGTATCTTTCTGCCCAAAAATTCTCATGGCCAGTGCTCTAACAAAAGTTTTTCTCTTAAATAAATCAAATAGTCAGTTGTAGAACTCTTTCCCGTAGATCCTAATTCCATAAGTAAACAATAAAAACAAAACACGGTAAAAGAGTAAAAGACCTGACAGTAACTATATAACTATCAGTTCAACAACTATACAAACAGTAGACAAAGTATACCAACATTAAATGGAATAGAGA